TAGGTGACAATGCTTCAAGCAAGTGTCACAGGGCCTTTTAAGGTGATTCTTTCTACAGAAACTTCTAATTTCTTTTTCTTTTCTTTTTTTAAAGATTTATTTATGCATACAAGAGCTGGGGTACAGGCCAGAGATGAGGGGGGCTGAGAGGATTCACCAGAGACAGAGTGGGGAGCAGAACAGGCAGACTGACTGAAACACACTGCTGAGGGGAGCAGCGGGCGGGACAGGAGAGGTCTGCTTCGCCAAGTGGGTTTCTCCCTCGCCAGCCGGGGATTGAATTCATGCTGCAGTGGCTGCAGATTCCCTCATAGTGTGGTGCTTAACCCCTTGTGCCACCAGGGAGGCCCAGAAACTTCTAATTTCTTATCTCTTTGGACTTTAGGAAAGAAATAACCCTGGGGTACTACATTATATGTTATGAGTATACCCTCACCACAAATTGCTGAGTCTCTATTAAGCCATCACCAAATAGTCTTAATTTGAGTGTACCACATGTTTCTTGCTATGACTATGACTGATACAACTGGTTTATTCAGTGAGCTTTTATAGCAAAGGTGAATTTGATGTATGTAGGTCTTGAGGGAAATTCACACTTACTAGGCAAAAAATAGAGCATTTAGAAATTAAAGGGAGGGCTTTCCCTGGTGGTGCAGCGGTTGAGCGCCGGGCTGTGAAGCTGCCTGCAGCCTCTGCAGTGCCGGTTCAATCCCCGGCCACAGGCGAGGGTCCCACATGGAGCTACAGACCTCTCCTGCGGTGCCTGCTGCTCCCCTCAGCAGTGTATTTCGTCAGTCTGCCTGTTCTGTTCCCTGCTCTGGCTCTGGTGAATCCTCTCACCCTCCCGCACTTCTGACTGTACCCAGTGCTTGTGTCAAATAGATAAATAATTCTAAAAAAAAAAGATAGTTAAAAAAAAAGAAATTAAAGGGATTTGAATGGATATGAATCCAACGTTACCATCCTGTGCTAATATTTTTGTCCTGTTTGACATTTTGACACAATCAGATGATATTTGAAGTTTTTCTTAATTTTACTTCCTCTAGTATTCCCTCCTGTTGTTTAGATATTGATAATGTTATATGTATTTGCCATATAGCCTGTAATGACTCACATCCTTCTTTAAACAAATTTCAGTGAGCTTATTATTCATATAATGCATTGTGAAGTCATTTGGCATTCCCCCAATGGGAATATATCATTTACTTTAACTAGAGTTAAAGATTCAATGTAGTTTTAGACAAAGAGTTTATTAGAAAATCAGAGTGAGGATTTGAAGGCCCAGAGTCTGGCAGATTTTACTCCATAAGAACCATTCCAGCAATCACAATTTTAAATATTATTTATATAGGTAGGAACAGTGTGTCATTGACATTAAAATTGTAGTTATTCTTGACAGGGTGGGCTTCTCCTTTTAAGTTGTCTTGACCTAAAGGTATGTTGATGCTATCTATATGCAGAGAGAGGAAATGTTGGGGTTTAATCTCATTGTTTAAATCTTTTTGGGGTTGAAAAGACGGGCTTTACCTGCAGGCAGCAGATTTTGCACAGGTGGCTTTGCTCTTGGGTCTGCTAGATTAAGGAGGGATTGTTCCTAGAATATTTTACAGTATATTCACAACTTATTAGGTTTACCTACTCTTTTCTCATCAGCTCAAAATAATTAAAGTGATATTGTTTTGTACTACAGCAATTATAAACACAAAGGTAAATTTGAGCTCTGAGATCTTGCAGTATTCCATTTTCAGGGATTCATCTATATGAATCATACCCATATAAATATATTTATATTAATTTTATAAGTGACAGAAACATAAAAAAAAATTAAAAAGTTATCCTAAAGAATTATTAGACTACCCATCCCTCTTCTACCCCAGTACATCTGCTTAATTTGAGAAACTTGAATTTTCATGACTGCATTGATGTGAAGTAAGGGAAAAAGAAAAAAGGATAAACACTCCACGATGTCTGGGTCAATGAGCACATGATCCTATTTACTGAAACTAGAAAAAAAAAGATGCTTTCGGGAGAAATGATGAGTTCAGTTTGTACAGCCTTACTTTGGGTTTCTGTCAGTACATTCCTTTTTTGGTAGACTGACCTGAAGATTTTAATTTGGAGGTGGACAACATCTACTGAAAACAAAAATAGATGTGATCAATCAGGTAGAACGTACAGAATAAGAACAGAAGGTAGCCAAGGAAAAGTAGCCTTGAAGAATGCAGTTCCTGCACAGAGGCAGTTTAGTGAAGACTGGGGAGAGCTAAGGAAATCAAAAGAAGGGGGTGATCTTGTTACAGGGCAGGGTGAGGGGCACACCAGAACCCCCAAACCTACCTGCTCTAGATAGGTTCTGCCATCTGTCCCATCAAGACAAAATATACTCTAGTGCATAAGACCTTTAATTGAAAGGAACTTTAATATAATTAGTATGCAACAAAGACAGAGTGTTGTCCCAAAGCGGGGCCACTGAGACCTGAAAACCTGCCACAGGTCTAAGGTACCTCTTGGCGGGGATTCATAGGAAAGGGACAGAAGGGGCCCAGCATGTCTGAGACAGAAGCAAAATGAAAATCAAGATAATAGCTCCCTGTGGGTCTCTCACCCACATCTGTTTCAACCAGTACAAGACAAGAAGCAAGCACAATTTCTTCACATATCTCTCTGCCCCAGAGAGTCCTCCAGGTTTCCTTCTTGTTCCCCATCTTTCTTACTTCCTGCACATCTCCTCTCTACCTCTTCTCTTCCTGCTCAGCTGCACCCTCCCTTGGGTGGGGCAGGGAACCTGCTATCTCCCCTTTTCCTGGGGACCACCCTGTTACAATCTAGGAATCAAAGTCAACACAGCCAGGTGTTCTCAAGACTGAAAAGAGTTAATCATATCTGGTGATTACGAAGTGCTGACTATGGTAAGCAATTTCAGTGGAGTGTGGGGGCAAAGTCTAATCACAGCCTCTAAGAGCAAAGAGGAACATGAGGAAATGTAAGTAGTAACTCAAGATGTTTTACTTTGTTGTGAAAATGTAACTAGAGACAACTGCAGGGATACAGGCCTTGAAAGCAATGGAAGAGATCTGTGAGCAGCAGCACCAGGAGAGGAGGACAGAATCAACACCAGCTTATAAATAAAGATCCTAGAGGAGTGGATATTATCAGATTAAGCAAATGAGAAGATTTCTTGGAGGTTGGAGAAGAAACACAGGTGGAGTTGTAAAGGGGGAGGGAATTGAGAGGCACTTTGCATTATACCAAAAAGCCTCAGTTTTCTCTCTGGAATAAGAGGCAGGTTCTTCTGCCTGATCAAGAAGCGAAAAGATGGGGCAAATGATCTGGTGGTGGGGGGTTGGGGTGGTGCTGAATGTTTGGTAGAGAAAATTGCCCTGGAAGAAGTAAATAGGTTTAATGAGAAGTGCTGAGGCTAATTCGCTATGGATTTAAGGAGGCACTAGTCTCAAAACTTTCTCTTCTAACTCTGACCTGCAAGGATGTATTGATAGATCAGACACTTAGAAGACAAATGAAGGTTGACCTCTACTTAAATCTCTGTCCCCAGTGGCCCAGATGCATGGACACCAAGGCATGTGTGAGTGCCACTTGTGCCACTCGTTTGCATACAAAGCAGCCAGAGGGTCCGTGTCATTCTCACTAGTGTAAGATGGTATCTCATTGTAGTTTTGATTTGCATTTTCCTGATTACAAGTGATGAACATTTTTTATATTCCTGTTGGCCATTTGCATTTCCTCTTTGGAGAAGTTTCTTTTTAGCTCTTCTGCCCATTTTTTGACTGGATTGTTTACTTTGTTTTTATTGATTTTGGTCAGCTCTTTGTAGACTTTTGTAAACTCATGCAATTTGCAGCAACGTGGATGGAGCTGGAAGGGATCATGCTCAGAGAAATAAGCCAGAAAGAAAAAGAAAAACACCGGATGGTCTCACTCATAGTAGGAATTTAGAAAACCTAAATAAGGCACGGGGCCTCCCCAGTGGCGCAGCGTGAGCGCTGCGTTGCGAAGCTGCCCGCAGTCTGCAGCGCCGGTTCAATCCCTGGCTGCTCCCTGGCCACCGGAGGAGGGTCCCACAGGGCGCGCAGACCTCTCCTGCCGCCCGCTGCTCCCCTCAGCAGTGTACCTCGGTCCTTCTGCCTGCTCTGCACCCCGCTCTGGCTCTGGTGAATTCTCTCACCCTCCCGCGCTTCTGACTGTACCCAGTGCTTGTATAAATAAATAATCTTAAAAAAAAACACAATTAAATAAGGCACGGGGGAAAAAGACTAATTATAATAAAGAAAAAAAAATCAACAAGCAACTATAAACCAGAGACAAGGGGGGGAGGAGAGGAGGGAATAGGATCAAAACAAGGGGGGGGGGAATTGTATGGGGACTATAACCAAGATGAAAATGCATACATTGTGCAAAAATGAAAAAAGATGTAAAAAATATATAAATAAAATTAAAATGAGGAAAAAAAGGGCGGGTGTCATTGTATTCTAAAACCTGCTGTAATGTAGTTTCAACTTCCCAAGGACCTTACAGAAGTCGAGTCATTTTTAAAAGGAGCGGGTAAGACAAGCATGCATAACAGACACAATGTGATGGAAGGGGTAGAAATGAGAACAGGACAGGGGAGAGAAGAGCACAAGGGATTATGGTGATGGTTCACGGGGGAACTGGTGGTGTGAATTTTACGGGGAATACACAATAATATAAAAGATACAAATAAAAAAAAAGTATATTTTTAAAAAAAGGAGGGGGTAAGAAGCCGGGAACTGAGACGAAGCAAGGAGCCCAACCTTTCTTCAGATTCATCAGGAGGAAAGGCGGGTGGCAGCTCAGGGTCCAGGGCCTGCTTCCAGCGCAGGAGGAGGCCGGACCGCGGCGGCCAGGCGGAAGCGCCTCTGCCATTGGCCCGGCGGCGTCTTTACCTGCGCGGGGCCCCCCGGAGCGCAAAGTCCGCTACGACTCGGCGCGGCGGAGCAAGCGGCGGTCCCCCGCGCAGGTGGGCCACCGCCCCGGGCCAGGCAAGATGCCCCTGGGGCTGCGGGGAAAGAAGAAAGCCTCGTCCAAGGAGACCGCCCGTCTGGTGGAGGGCGAGCCGGCGGGCAGCGATGGCGGCGGCGCTGGCACCAACAGCCTCCGGTACCCCCCGATCCCTCCACGGCGGCTGGTTTTCCACACGCAGCTGGCGCACGGCAGCGCGACGGGGAGAGTGGAGGATTTCTCCAGCAACAGGGAGCTTTACGACAAGATCGCGGACGTGTTTGCGATTGCGCCGTCCGAGGTAACACAGGTGCCCAGCCTCCCTGCCGCGCGCCCCGGCTGCCTGAAGCTGGCTGCAGGCTGGTGGATCCGCGCTCTCCGGAGCCCCGTGCGCGCGGGGGAGTGGGGTGCGCCCGCGGTGGGGAGGGGTCCGCCCCAGGGGAAGTGAGCGGGCGCTATTTGGAGGAGAACAGGTAAGTACCGGGTTCGGACCGTCACTTTCCCTGTACTCGGAGATCCAGTTTCTAGGAAACTGGGGGCGACCTTTCTTCTTCATGCAAATCAGCGGATATGCTGTTCCAGGCGTGAGCGCCTTCCCAGGGTGGAGAACTGACTAGGCATGTTACTATCCTCTCTACCCCACTTCGTTTGGACTTGAGTCTACTTTATCCTCCGCAGGGCTGGGGGTCACGCTGAGCATCTCCCAGATTAAGAAAAAAATTAAGCGGGGTTGGAGGGGCGAGGGTGATGGGGGATGGCGGAATGCCTATTGGGTGATAAACTGAGGCCTGGACTTTGCCCTGAGTTTATCCTGTGTCAATATCAACAACTCCTTTTGTGGTGTTTCCGAGAAATTTATTCCCAGGGAATTTTACTTAACGTCTGAAACTAGTTAATAAAGGTTTCAGAGAGGGAAATGAACTCTATGTTTTACACCTCCTCCTTGAAAAGGGATTGAATTTTGCTTCAATTAGGCTGACTGCTTGCGTTTAGGGAACTGGAGTTCCATATAGGCATCATCTCGAGAGCACTAGTTTGGACCGATGTTTATGTGGCTAATTTCTGCTTACCCAAACGAATTGCAAATGGAGGTGTGTGTTTAAGAAAATCTTTCCTATCTGTGCTAAACAAAGACACAACATTTTGTTGCCCTGGACTCCCGGGAGTGCCTTGAATTGCCTTTGAATAGCACAGAGAGACATTTATGTATTTGTTCTTTAATGTTTACCAGGTTTGCTCAAGCGCAAGTGAGGTCAACGCAGAGTTCCAAGAAGAGTTGATAGAGCTTGAAGTATAACCTGTTCTTTTAGGATACTCAGGTGCTGAGGGGCAATCATAAACTCATTTGTGAATTATTTATATTGATAGGGAGTAGTAGCAATAATAATACTCGTATGTATAGGACTTTTCCATTTAAAAAGCACTTTCACAGGACCAAGTGATGTTTTCTAGGATAGTCAGGTGGCAGGTGGTTCATTAGGTAGCTAAGGACATGGGTTGGAGACAGGTAAACCTAGATGTGGAAGCAGGTTCTACAGCTTCTAGCTGTTTGGCCTAAAATAAGTTCATACAATTTCAGCCATCTCTATAAAACTGAGATAAAAATATCTCCTTTCAAAGGTTGTTGTAAGGACTGGTGTTCATCTATAATCATAACTCATATGTGCTCAGTGCTTAACATACTCAACTTATATAATAAATACTAATAGTTTATTGAGAGCGCTGAGATGTCAAGTGTTTGGACTTTGCCTAAAGTCACAGAACAAGCAAGAAAAAAAGCTGGGCTATTAAAACTTGGATCTCTTGGGGCCTCCCCGGTTGCACAGCGGTTGAGTGCTGGGTTGCAAAGCTGCCCGCAGCCTCTGCAGCGCCGGTTCAATCCCCGGCTGCTCCCCAGCCACCGGCGAGGTTCCCACATGGCACGCAGACCTCTCCTGCTGCCCACTGCTCCCCTCAGCAGTGTACTTCGGTCCTTCTGCCTGCTGTGCTCCCCGCTCTGGCTCTGGTGAATTCTCTCACCCTCCCGCACTTCTGACTGTACCCAGTGCTTGTATAAATAAATAAATAAATAAATAAAAATAAATCTTAAAAAAAAAATAAAAAAAAACTTGGATCTTTTGGCTTTTAAGCTAGTGAGCTTTGTTAGCACAATAAATTAACAATGTTAAATGTCTCTCTATAACTAGGGACTCTAGATTTCATTTCTTTGCATCTTCCTCATAATAGTGCATTCTAAACTCAAGATGCATGATTACATTCAATCTGCTTCATCCCTGAGAAGAAGTGTTAATATATCTGCTTCATAGAGAGGAAACAAAGGGTTTGAAGTTCAGTACTTTCTCAAAACTATACTCAGGAAGTGGCAGAGCCTGGGTTTAATCCCAAAGTTTTGTTTTGTTTTTTTAAATCCAGATTCAATGAAATCATACTACTGTATTGCTTCCCATGTTTTCCAGGCTGTCTCAGCAATAGCTTGGCAGTCATGTTCAACATTTTCAGTTTCTAATGCACTGACTTGCAAGATAAAATTCCAATATAAAAAGGTGTTTTGATGTGTTATATCAAAGTTCATAAAGAATGCCAAAGATAGGCCTCCCTGGTTTAGCACAGCGCTGTGAAGTTGTCCGCAGCCTCTGCAGCGCGGGTTCGATTCCCGGCCAGCCAGGGAGATACCCACATGGCGCAGCAGACCTCTCCTGTCTTGCCTGCTGCTCCCCTCAGCAGTGCTTTCAGTCTGTCTGCCTGTTCTGCTCCCTGCTCTATCTCTGGTGAATCCTTTCACCTTCCCACGCATCTGGCCTGTACCCCAGTTCTTGTATAAATAAATCTTTAAAAAAAAAAGAATGCCAAATATATGTATATTAGTGTGTTTATGTATATAACCAACATTAATGCCAGTTTTCCATTTGGATTAAAAAGGGTAAGTATATTTAAGATAAAAGCATTTGTCATCCTAGTATAGTATATCATGAGTATCTTAGTAGTTAATTTTGAAAAGAAATAGCTTATTAAAATAAAATATGCACAGTGAGATACCATTTCCCATCCTACGCCCTCAGCAATAGGGATAGTGGTATAAATTTTTGAGATGTCAGTGGGGACAAAACAAAGAATTTCCCACTTTACTAGGTTGAATAGATGTTTCACTTGGAAGTCATGCCTTTTTTTCTAAAGAGGTGGTTATGAGGATATAAATAGCACTATATAAAGAGCTTTACCTTCTTTACTGAGTGGGTTGGGGGGAGGGAAGAACTTCATTTGACCTGATAATCAAATGGAGCATATTTAGCTAAACGTACTGGGAGTTCATAATGGGCCCAGGACTGTGGTATCATGTAAGTCTATAATGCATCCTTACCATAGCACAGGATTCAGTTGAAATAAGTAAGGATTTGAGAAGTTCAGCAGCTTGCTCAGAGTCTCTGGGCTGGTATGTGTTGGAGCCAGGATTTGAATTCAGGTTTTCTGGTTCCAAATTCATTACTAAGCAGTATGTCATTCTTGGTAACGGTATTCAGATATGGAAAAACTTCTTTTAAACAGTTATCTTTTAAATTAAAGTTGTAGATTCAACACAAAAATATTTAGTTGCCTCAAAAAAGATGCTGTTTTGTAACTGTTGTGGATTTCATCTATTTCATGGTGCCTGAAGGATGCCATGTATGAATCACTTAAAATTTGTTAGCAATTCTGGGCTCAGTCTGTGATCATTACCTTGAACAGATGGCCAATTATGCAAAATCCCTCATAGCTGATAACAACTAAATGAGCAATTCAGTAAAAAAAGCAAGCAAATTAATCTTGTCTAGAAGAAAAGTTAACTCATAATAAATGCAGGGATAAATTTGTAAAATGTTTATTGCCATTTTTAAAAATATCCAGGTTATATAAATGAGTTGTTCATTAAACTCCTGAACTGTAGTCATGAACTTTGTTGAAGGATATTTTGAATATTTGACCACTGTAATTGTTTGGAAAGTAGTTTGTGCCATGACATGTTTTAATTCTCTTACTATGTGAAAAGATTTTAGAAGAGAAAATGAATTTGAAAAAACTTTTAGAGAAATCAGCTTTGTAGTTAGCTGATTTACATGTCCAGTATGGAAAACTCAGTTTCTTTATAGAATTCAAAAATTATTTCTTTGGTTATTGGAATATGATAAAATAGTAAATAGTTCATTAAAGGAAGGGATCAAGCTAATACACCACTCACCCCTTGATAAATAAAACAGTGTACTTAGGAAGCAGAAAGGCAAGAATGGTGACTTTTAAACATTTGAAACCATAAACACTTTCTTGTAATAAAACCTGGTATTTCTCATCGCTAAAAAAAAATAAAAAATAAGAAAATTGAAACCATACAAACTCATAATATTTAACATGTAGACATGAGGTTACTTAAAACAAACCTTCTCTTGAAACCTGCCCTCATCCCTATGCTATTACCTCGTTTCTCCTTTTTAGCAGAAGTCAAAGTTGCTGTCTTCAGTGAGATCTATTTTGTATCTCAACTCTCTGCTCAAAACTTTCCAATAGCTCACCATCTCAGAGCATAATCCAGATGCTATCATGGGGTCTAGGTGCTGTTGTCTTTCTAACTTTCCTTTCTTTTCTAGCCTCTTGGTCTCCTGGCTGTTCCTTGAACACAGGAGTCTTAGGGCTTTTGCACAGGCCGTTGATTCTACCAGAACATAATCTTCCTGCAGTCTCTTCCTTTTTTAAGTCTGCTCACATGTTATCTTCTCAGTGAAGCTGCCACTGATTCATCTCATTAAAATTACAACATGCCTTTTCCTTCCTTCCTTAATTTTCCTTGATGGCATACTAATATTCTATGTATATTTAATTTGTTTTGATTGTGTCTATTTTCTTCTTCCATCTACTCAGCTCTAAGTTCCACAAAGGCAAGGATTTCATCTATTGTTTACTGATGATAGCCCAAGGACTGAAACATACCTTGAATGTAAAGTATTTGTTACAAGTAAAAAAAGACCCTTACAAATACAGTATTTTACATACTGCATCTTTGACATAAAATTTTTTTTTTTTTTTTTTAAAGATTTATTTATTTATACGAGCACTGGGTACATACAGTCAGAAGTGCGGGAGGGTGAAAGAATTCACCAGAGCCAGAGCAGGGAGCAGAACAGGCAGAAGGACCGAAGTACACTGCTGAGGGGAGCAGTGGGCATGGCAGGAGAGGTCTGCGTGCCATGTGGGACCCTCACTGGTGGCCGGGGATCGAACCGGCGCTGCAGAGGCTGCAGGCAGCTTCGCAGCCCAGCGCTCAACCGCTGCGCC